CAGTTTAGCGCCCCCTGTTATGTTTGAAACGGCTAACGTCATTACACATTTTAGCCAGTTCGAACACAGACCATTATCACCCTAGGTACACTAGAGGGCGCCTCTTCATCTACGTATCTACAGGTAGATGGCATCAATTTATTCCTTATGGGTGGGAAATAAAACATTAATAATATGTGTAACGACATGATTGACGTTTATTTGTTGTTTAGGTTATAGGTCAAAGGTCATGTGTGTGTGATGATAGATAGATAGATAGATAGATAGATAGATAGATAGATAGATAGATAGATAGATAGATAGATAGATAGATAGATAGATAGATAGATAGATAGATAGATAGATAGATAGATAGATAGATAGATATACAGATAGAGATATACAGATAGACAGACAGACAGACAGACAGATAGATAGATAGATAGATAGACAGACAGACAGACAGACAGACAGACAGACAGACAGACAGACAGACAGACAGACAGACTGATAGATAGATAGATAGATAGATAGATAGATAGATAGATAGATAGATAGATAGATAGATAGATAGATAGATAGATAGATAGATAGATAGATAGATAGATAGATAGATAGATAGATAGATAGATAGATAGATAGATAGATAGATATACAGCTTAAAGTGACATGTAAATTCTTCACCAGGTTAATTAGGTTAACTAGGCAGGTCAGGGTAATTAGTCAAGTTATTGTATAATGATGGTTTGTTCTGGAGACCATTGAAAAAATATATATTGCTTATAGGAGATAATTAGTGACCCTAAAATTAATTTAAAAAAAATTATTTATTTAAAACTGCTTTTATTAATGCCAAAATAAAACAAATAAGACTTTATCCAAAAGAAAAAAAAAACATTATCAGACATACTGTGAACATTCATTTACTCTGTTAAACATCATAGACAATAACACAGAGAAAACCGCAGTTTAGCGCCCCCTGTTATGTTTGAAACGGCTAACGTCATTACACATTTTAGCCAGTTCGAACACAGACCATTATCACCCTAGGTACACTAGAGGGCGCCTCTTCATCTACGTATCTACAGGTAGATGGCATCAATTTATTCCTTATTGGTGGGAAATAAAACATTAATAATATGTGTAACGACATGATTGACATTTATTTGTTGTTTAGGTTATAGGTCAAAGGTCATGTGTGTGTGATAGATAGATAGATAGATAGATAGATAGATAGATAGATAGATAGATAGATAGATAGATAGATAGATAGATAGATAGATAGATAGATAGATAGATAGATAGATAGATAGATATGGATGGATGGATGGATAGATAGATAGATAGATAGATAGATAGATAGATAGATAGATAGATAGATAGATAGATAGATAGATAGATAGATAGATAGATAGATAGATAGATAGATAGATAGATAGATAGATATACAGATAGAGATATACAGATAGACAGACAGACAGATAGATAGATAGATAGATAGATAGATAGATAGATAGATAGATAGATAGATAGATAGATAGATAGATAGATAGATAGATAGATAGATAGATATACAGCTTAAAGTGACATGTAAATTCTTCACCAGGTTAATTAGGTTAACTAGGCAGGTCAGGGTAATTAGTCAAGTTATTGTATAACGATGGTTTGTTCTGGAGACCATTGAAAAAATATATATTGCTTATAGGAGATAATTAGTGACCTTATAATTAATTTTAAAATAATTATTTATTTAAAACTGCTTTTATTACTGCCAAAATAAAACAAATAAGACTTTATCCAGAAGAAAAAAACATTATCAGACATACTGTGAACATTCATTTACTCTGTTAAACATCATAGATAATAACACAGAGAAAACCGCAGTTTAGCGCCCCCTGTTATGTTTGAAACGGCTAACGTCATTACACATTTTAGCCAGTTCGAACACAGACCATTATCACCCTAGGTACACTAGAGGGCGCCTCTTCATCTACGTATCTACAGGTAGATGGCATCAATTTATTCCTTTTAGGTGGGAAATAAAACATTAATAATATGTGTAACGACATGATTGACATTTATTTGTTGTTTAGGTTATAGGTCAAAGGTCATGTGTGTGTGATAGATAGATAGATAGATAGATAGATAGATAGATAGATAGATAGATAGATAGATAGATAGATAGATAGATAGATAGATAGATAGATAGATAGATAGATAGATAGATAGATATCCTTAATACACAAACACAACAAACACACTTTATTGAACTGCAGGTTAACTATGTTTATATATAACTTTAACTGGTAAAGGATATTAGTTACTAGATAATTAGGTAAAGTTTACAGTAACTAAATAAGTTATGGTAACTAATAACGTTAGCTTTTCCGAATTTGATGGTTATGCAATAATGTGCACCATTTTAAAGCTGGTTTGGAACAATAATTACTGTGAAAAGCGCTATACAAATAAACTTGAATTGAATTGAATTGAACTGATAGTATGCATCTGTGTGTAACAGGACATCCACAGAAAGCGTCAGGAGAAGGATTTATCTGAGCTTCAGTCTCTGATCGAGGCTCATTTCATCCAGAGGAAGAAAGATGAAGAAGAACTGATCGCGCTGGTCAACAGAATCGTAAGTCCAGCTTAATCTGGGAAAACACTTACTTTTCAGGACCCTTTGTGTGAAGAACCATGTGTGGTTACTTCACTGACATTGATTGCAATATAATTTTACAAAAGAATAAAGTACAAAAGAAAAGGGATTTTCCCAATTAGCATTTCTGTGTGGAGTTTGCATGTTCTCCCTGTGTTGGTGTGGGTTTCCTCCGGGTGCTCCGGTTTCCCCCACAGTCCAAAGGCATGTGGTATAGGTGAATGGGATGAACTAAAGTGAGTATTTCTGTCATGGATTGTGATGTGTGTCTCTGTTTTGTGCAGGAGAAGCGGCGCGGCGAGAGGGCAGAGCAGCAGAGAATCCGTGCAGAGAAAGAGAAGGAGAGACAGGCCCGTCTGGCCGTGAGTGACACTTCCTTCAGCCAATAGCAAGCAGACATTCTTGTGGGCTAGAAGAGAAATGACAGGTCAATCAAGTAAAACTTCTTTCATCACTTCTCCACAGGAAGAAAAAGAGAGGCGAGAGCAAGAGGAACAGAGGAAGAAACACGATGAAGATGCCAAGAAGAAGAAGGCCCTCACCAACATGACACACCAGTATGGAGGAATCCAGCAGAAGGTCTGAATTAAGTAGAAAATCATTGATATGCAGCTGAACTCAAAATTATTAGAGCTCCTGTGACTTACTTTTTTTGAAATATTTCCCAAATGATGTTTAACAGAGCAAGGGATTTTTCACAGTATTTCCAATAATGTTTTTTTCTTCTAGAGAAAGTCTTCTTTGTTTTATTTGGGCTAGAATAAAAGCAGTTCTTAATTTTTTAAATCATTTTAAGGTCAATATTATTAGTTCCCTTAAGCATTTTTTTCTCGAGTGTCTACAGAACAAACCATCATTAATGACTTGCCTTATAACCCTACCTTGCCTAATTAACTTTTTTCTGTCTTGTAGGGCGACGGCCGCAAAGGAGCAAAGAAACAGACAGAGAGAGAGAAGAAGAAGAAGATCCTGGCGGAGAGAAAGAAGCCACTGAACATCGATCATCTTTCTGAAGATAAACTGAAGTAAGTCTCCTCACATCAGCTCCTCCTATTATTCAGTGTGTGTGCAGTTGAAGTCAGAATAATTAGCCCACATAAATCTTTCCCCAATTTATGTTTAACGGAGAGCAGATTTTTTTTCAACACATTTAGTTGAAAAGCCGAAAAAAACGATCATTTTGTTTGAAAAAACGATTTTTAAACATAATAGTTTTAATAACTAATCTCTAATAACTGATTTATATTATCTTTGCCATTATTCAATTCATTTTCAATTCAGCTTTATTTATGTAGCACTTTTATAATGTAGATTGTGTCAAAGCAGCTTCACTTAAATGGTCATAGTAACTGGATCAGGGTAGTTCAGTATTTTAGTGTTTAAGTTCAGTTCAGTTTATCTCAGTTCAGTGTGGTTTAGGATCATTACTGAGAGTCCAAACACTGAAGGCAAATTCATCGATGCGTAGCTCTACCGATCCCAAACCATGCAAGCTAGAGGCGACAGCGGAGAGGGGAAAAAAACTTCACCGATAGGCGAGTGAAGAAAAAAAACCTTGAGAGAAACCAGACTCAGTTGGGCACGACCATTTTAATTTCTCCACTGGCCAAAAGTCCTGTGCAAAGCTGCAGCCTCAGCGGTGGAGGCTGGAAGCTGGCCTCAGCGAAGACTCGTCTGTCCCTGGAGCGTCACTGGAATAATGACAGTACATAACATTTTACTAGATAATTTTTTATACTTCATACTAGTATTCAGCTTTAAGTGACATTTAAAGGCTTAACTATGTTAATTAGGCAAGTCATTGTATCAAGATGGTTTGTTCTGTAGACAATTGAAAAAAATGTTCCGTAGGGGAACTAATAATGTTGACCTTAAAATGGCTTTTTGAAAAGTAAAAACTGCTTTTATTCTTGCTAAAATAAAACAAATTATTCTTTCTCCAGAGGAAAAAATATTATAGGAAATACTGTGAAAAACTCCTTGCTCTGTTAAACATTATTAGGGAAATATTCGAAAAAGAAATTCACCAGAGGGCTAATAATTTTGACTTCAACTGTGAAAGTGTCTGATGAAGCATCTGTCTGGATTCGACAGGGAGAAGGCCAGTGAAATGTGGCAGTGGATGATGCAGTTGGAGGCCGAGAAGTTTGACCTCAGCGAGAAACTCAAGAGGCAGAAATATGATGTAAGTACCGAACGGAAAATCACAGAATAATGTGTATAGCGTATCAGATCTGAATCACAGTAATTATCTCCTTTTTTAATTTCCTTTTACATTTTTTAAGATACAACAGGCATGTGTATCTTAAATGTGGTTATTACACTAAAAGCAAAAGGTTAAAGTAACTCAAACCATTTGAGGAAACCGATTGCAACAAATTATTTAAGTACTGTGAACTTGCTCCATTTGAGTCACGAAGCAATTTGAGCACAGTAAAGCCCAATAAATGAAGAGAACTCATACCAACTGAGTATTGTAAACCCAATAAGATAAGATAACTCAAACCATTTGAGGAAACCAATCGCTACAAACTATTTGAGTTATAAATTCAATCTATATGAGTGCTGTGAACTTACTTCATATAAGTTGAAGTAATGAGATATTTAATGAACTCATTACCTTCAACACTGAGTTCAAAACTCTTGACAATTTATTTTAATTAGATATTTAAAACATTAAACTAGACACTTTACATGGATTTGATATGCGTTCAATGCATAATAAATCACTTTTGTCAATTTGACTTGACGCAGGATGCTTCAATTCGGCCCAAACATGTGTTTTCCTTCAAAATATCTGAATAGGGTATATGCCGAAGTATGCTTATAGGATTTTTAATTTGTCATAACCTTAATTAAGAGCTTCTGGTGAACTGAATGCCATAGCAAAATCTGTGCATTTAAGGTCAGTTTGCTTTAAAAATCAGCGATCTCCACTGGCTGAGTGATATCTGATATAAAGTGGGTCTCAGATTGTACAACAAGCACTGCTTTAAATTACATTTCCCCTCACCATGTCTTTATAATATGAGCCTTTATTTAACCCCAGTATATTCAATGGAGCTTCTACGCTAGTCTGCCGATTCTGAGGGGCGCGTGCAAGTAAATGCTCCTTTGTCTCGTTTTATGCTTTAGCAACTAAATGAATGCCAAAGTCTATTTAACTGATTGTATTTTAATGACATTACAACATCCATGCTGTAAAAGGAATCATATAAAATGGAAAAAACTCACAATAACAGGTCACTGGAAGTTTATTAGTACACTAGCTCGACATACCCTATTAAGAAGGTAAAACAGTTTCATATTGAGCCCATAGAATAATTCCCACTGAAAACAGGCCTGGTCCATGGCCTGCCTGTCTAAAACTGTGACTTGCTTCCAGATGAATGTTCTCCAGACCCGAATCAATGAACAACAGAAGTTGTAAGTAACTGTTGTGTAGCCTTGCTGTCAGTACCTGTTGTTGGTCAGATTTGTGTCGGGTCTGGGCTCTGGACGCCTGCAGCTGAAGCAGGAGACTGTAAATCAGGCGATGGACGTCTGCGCCCCTCAGGTTTCCCCCCGTCCTGCTCATATTGATATTTGTGCTTAGCAAGGCTTCCGTATGTGTCCCTTTACAGATCACTCAGCTTCTGGCTCGAGTCCGAGACCACCAGAGGTAAGTACCCTGAGCCACACTGGTCACTTTCCCCTGCTTTCAATCAGGTCTGGCTTGGAGGGAGGAAGTAGAGGGAGGGTTGATGTAAAACAGATTAAAGTCGGCATGAAATCCAAATGATTCATTGGATTTACTAATTATTTTAAGGTAAGTGGTTGGAAACAATTATTTAAACAAGTAAGTTAAGTTTAACATTACATACATTTAATTTGTTTGTTTAAATTCAGCCCCATATTTAATTGTTTGCAACAACTTACAACTTAAAAAAAGTTGAACTATTTTTTCAATGTAGTAGTGCTTGTTATAAAAAATAGGGTTGTCTCAGCCAGCACCCTTGTGAGTGCACTTATTAGTCATTTTAAATGCTGTCTCAATTGCAAAATTCTTCCAGTGCACTGATCATTCATGTCCAGAAAATTCCCACACTGCACCGTTAAAATCATGAAGCATTGATGCGCACTATGTCCACTTAATGGACGTTCTGAAGTGTGAATATCATAAACCAAATCGTCAAAGATGACGACAACCGAGAGACATTTACCATCATTTATTTATTTTTACATCTAAGAACAATCTAGCAAACATTTATAAGTGTTTCCGTTATATGAAACTAACTAATTATTGAGCTATGATGTACTTTTAAAAACTTCGTAAAATAATATATGAAAAATATTACTTCTGCTAATATTACACAACCCTTTTTAATTTAATTTGCCATCATACAATGTAATTAATTATCCTAACCTGTCCTCCCCCCCTCAAAATGACTTTTCTCTACTTCTGGTCACATGGAATGTCTTTAGGGCGGGGCTATCATTCATTTAGGGCAGAGCTAGCAGTCATCTGGGGTAGGGCTATCAGTAATGTAGGGCAGGGATAGCAGTTATATAGAGCATGGCTATCAGTCATCTAGGACAGGGATAGCAGTAATTTGGGGCGGTGCTATTAGTTATTTAGGGCGCGGATAGCAGTAATTTGGGGCAGGACTCTCAATTATTTAGGGCGGGGCTATCAGTAATCAAGGCTCTGGCTATCAGTCATCTAGGGCATATATAGCAGTCATTTGGGGCGGGACTCTCAATTATTTAGGGCGGGGCTATCAGTAATCTAGGCTCTGGCTATCAGTCATCTAGGGCATAGATAGCAGTAATTTGGGGTGGGACTCTCAGTTATTTAGAGCAGGGTTATCAGAATTTAGAGCGTGGATATCAGTCATCTGCTAATATTACATGACCTATTTAATTTAATTTGATTTAAATATTTAATCAAACATCATAACCTGTCCTCCCTCCCTCGAAATGAATTTTCTTCACTTCCTGTCACATGGAATGTCTTTAGGACGGAGCTATAATTCATTTAGGGCAGAGCTAGCAGTCATTTGGGGCGGGGCTATCAGTAATATAGGGCGGGGCTATCAGTAATACAGGGTGGGACTATCAGTTATTCAGACCAGCACTATCAGTAATCTAGGGCATAGCTATCAGTCATCTAGGACAGGGATAGCAGTAATTTGGGGTGGGGCTATCAATTATTTAGGGTGGGGCTATCAGTCATCTAGGACAGGAATAGCAGTCATTTGGGGTGGGGCTATCAGTCATCTAAGACAGGAATAGCAGTAATTTGGGGTGGGGCTATTAGTTATTTAGGACAGGGCTATCAGTCATCTAGAACAGAGATAGCAGTAATGTAGGGCGGGGCTATCAGTAATGTAGGGCGGGGCTATCAATAATTTAGAGCTGGGCTATCAGTAATCTAGGGCATGGCTATTTGTCATCTAGGATAAGGATAGCAGTAATTTGGGGCGGGGCTATCAGTCATCTATGGGCTGGGATAGCAGTAATTTGGGGCGGGCTAGTCATCATTTAGGGCGGGGCTATTTGTGCGTGTTGATAGCATCTTCCAATGGTCCAATCAGTTCCCAAAGATCCAAATCATTCATTGCCCTACGTTTTTTCTCATTTCATAACTGTTTCAATTAGATGTACATCATGATATCAGAAAACTTAACTTCATTTCATGCCAACTTTAAGATGAAGCTGTTTTGGGGTGATCTGCTGAACAGACCCTGCTCCTTTCTGATTCTAGACCTGATGAAAGCATATAATCTTGACAGGAGCGAGCTAGGAGCATGTGGTCAGCTCAATCCTCGGTCAAACGGGGAAACGTTTAGGATTTTGACACTCGATCCTAATAGAACCAGTTTAAGTGGCTCCTTCTTTGCTCTCACCAACACAAAATACTTGAGTTTTGTTGTAAACACAATCATATCTGCAGATAAATATGAACTGAATTTGGGGAGGATGTTTTTAAAGTGCCCCTATTATGCTGTTAAGTTTCTCGTTTAGTTTCAGAGGTCTTCTACAATGATTTACATTCATCCAAAATAAATTGTACATTTTGTCATTGTGTATGTTAGAATCAAGTTAGAATCAGTTCAAATGTTTAATTTTTTATTGATTTAAATCTCTCTAAACTTGTCTTTCTAAAAGCCTGCTCTGCTCTGCTCGGTTAGATAGCCCCGTACTCCGCTCTGAGTGGTCATGTAAACCAATTTTGATTGGTTGGTTGGTCATATGGTTTTGATTGGGTTTGATTGGTCAGATGCCTCTACTTTGCTCAGATTGGTTAGATGCCTTTATTATGATTGGTCAGTTAGCCCTGCTCTGCTCCCGTTGGTCAGATACCACTTTTCTGATTGGTCAGTTGACCTTACTCTGCTCTGATTGGTCAGGTACCTCTAGACTGATTGGTCAAATGGCCCTACTATGCTCTGATTGGTCACATACCTCTATACTAATTGGTCAGAGGGCCCTACTCTGCTCTGCATGGTCAGGTACTTCTACACTGAGTGGTGAGATGGCCCCACTCTGCTCTGCATAGTCAGGTACCTACACTGATTGGTCAGATGGGCCTACTTTGCTCTGCTTGATCTGGTACCTCTACACTGATTGGTCGGATGACCCTACTATGCTCTGGTTAGTCACTTACCTCTACACTGATTGCTCAGAAGGCCCTACGATGCTCTGATTGGTCACGTACCTCTACACTGATTGGTCAGATGGCTCTACTATGCTCTGATAGGTCACATGCCTCTACACTGATTGCTCAGAAGGCCCTACAATGCTCTGATTGGTCACGTACCTCTACACTGATTGGTCAGATGGCTCTACTATGCTCTGATAGGTCACGTACCTCTAGACTAATTGCTCAGAAGGCCCTACTTTGACGTAATTGGTCAGGTACCTCTACGCTGATGGCCCTACTTTGCTCTGATTGGCCAGGTACGTCTACACTGATTGGTCAGATGGCCCTACTCAGCTCTGATTGGTCAGATGACCCAGTATGTTATGAGTGGTTGACTACTTGCACTATTTGCCAGAAGCCAAACACTTATTAGCACATCTGAATTGCAGTAAACGTTAGTTATTCCGACAGTAACTATATCAGAACAGTAACTATATCTATACTTATTTAAGTCCTCATCATTTAGACGTGCCTGTAAATTAGATTTGCTTCTGCAAACCAAACTCTTCCAGTGTCATCTACAACTACAGTCATTCATGATCACTTACACATTGTGTACATATTCCCAATGAAATCCACAGACTGACATTATGCCCATCTGATTAAAGCCAGCATAGAATTTTGCTGTAATAAGACTGGAATTACCAACAACTTACACCCGGCAGTTCTTGCAGTCTTTTAATAGTTCAATCTGTTGTGAACTTGATCTTGGAAACTGTGCAGAGCGTTTACTTTCACAAACAGCTACTTTTACACACTACATGACAATCAATTTCTTAAAAAGCATAATAAGGGCACTGAAAATAAATTGATTGGTCATAAATGAGAGAGACTCCCACTGAAACGGTAAGTTCATAATAAATATTTCGCTCCTGGAAATGGAATCTGTAGGCTGATTGAAGAGGGTAAGAAACACATAAGGACAAAACAGGACTGCAGCATGGATTGTGTGTGAATGAGTGCTGCGTTTACGTGCATGCGTCTCTAACAACAGACTTTTTTTATTCAGCGTTCTGCCATTTTTGTAGAATAGTCAAAACTACACTACACATGTAGTCTCAGGTTTTATTACATGTTTGTTGTCCGTGTCGATGAATTTTACATTTCATTCTGATGTGCTAAATTTTAGGTGAATCATTTCTTGATGTAATTTTGGAGTTTTCATGTTACAATTAAGCTTTAGTGCATGAACAGATCTCTCTTCTCAGAATAAAACAAGTGAGCAATAAATAAAGAAATGCCCAATCAACATATCTTATATTTGTGAGGGGAAACAATTATATTAAAGTAAAAAAAGTGGAAGGTGGAATGTCAAAAATGTAAGATCGTAGATTATTTATCTGAGCGTATAACCTAATTATTCAATTCTTGACAGCACAAAAATCTTAAGTCTTAAATATATTATTAAATATGAACTATTTAGCTAATTTATTTCCACATTGTAAATACACGACTTGTATTTGAGGTGAAACAATCATATTAAAACAAGAAATGCAAGGTGAATGTAGGAAATTTAAGGTAATGGATTATTTATCTGAGCATTTAGCCTAATTATACAATTCTTGACAGCACAACAACCCCAGTGTTATAGAAATTATTAAATATGAGACATTTAGCTAATTTACTTCCACACTGTGAACATATGATAAATATTTGAGGTGAAACAGATTAAAATTGGAAACGTATGGTGAAATGAAAGAAATGTAAAATCGTAGACTATTTATCTGAGCATATAGCCTAATTATTAAATTTTTAATGGCACAACAACCCCAGTATTAAATGTATCATTAAACATGAAATTTTTAGCTAATTTACTTTCACATTGTGAATATTTGACTAACATTTCAGATGAACAATTATATAAAAATAAGAAATGTAAAGTGAAATGTGAGAAATATAAGGTAATGGATTATTTATCTGAGCATTTAGCCTAATTATACAATTATTGACAGCACAGCAACCCCAGTGTTATAGAAATGATTAAATATGAGATGTTTAGCTAATTTACTTGCACACTGTGAATATATGATAAATATTTGAGGTGAAACAGTCAGATTAAAATTGGAAACTTATGGTAAAATGTAAGAAATGTAAGATGGTAGACTATTTATCTGAGCGTATAGCCTAATTATTACATTTTTGACAGCACAACAACCCAAAAAAAGCAATTCAATAGCACAAATATATGGAGAAAAACAAAAACATGAATCACTAAATCCACAAAACCATGATTTTTTTTACAGTGCGAGGTTGTTGTTGTTGTGTTGTGAATATTAATTATGCTCAGATAATTCGTCTGCGGTCAGGTCTGCAATAGAGAAATGAGCTCATCAATACTGATCTGCAATAGCATCCTAATTAGTATAATTGAAATCATTTTAATAGCTCTTCTCATATTCCAGTCATTTATTAGATCTGAACGGATCAGTTATTTTCTCAATTGTCGTGATGTGCAGCCAAATAAAACAACTTGATAATTATTTTTCTCCCTCCGCAGTGCCAAAGGTCGTGGCAAGGGCAAGGTTGGCGGCAGGCTGAGGTAAACGCACGGCGGATCCAGGAGCTCCAGAGATCCAGAAGACTTTATCTGCTTCATCACATACAGTTGAAGTCAGAGTTATTAGCCCTCCTGAATTATTTCCTTCCCCCCTGTATATTTTTGATTTGCCCCAATTTCTGTTTAACAGAGAGATTTTATTTTTAAACATAATAGTTTTAATAACTCATTTCTGATAACTGGTTTCTTTTATCTGTGCTATGATGACAGTACGTAATATTTGACTAGATGTTTCATAAGATACTAGTATTCAGCTTCAAGTGACATTTAAAGGCTTAACTAGGCTACTTAGGCAAGTCGTTATTTAATGATGGTTTGTTCTGTAGATGGTCGAAAACAAATATTGCTTAAGGGGCTAATAATATTGACCTTAAAATGGTTTCAAAAACTGCTTTTATTCAAGCCAAAATAAGGCAAATAAGACATTCTCCAGGAGAAAAAATATTATAGGAAATACTATGAAAAATGTCTTGCTCCATTAAACATCATTTGGGAAATATTTGAAAAAGACAAAGCACAGGTGGGCGAATAATTTCGACTTCAACTGTATGCAGATGTGGTCATGACAGACGCATCGCTCTGCTTTACTGCACTATGGAGACAGAAAAGTTGCATACTCTCTACTGATGTCGTGTATTTCTGCTTGTTATGCACAAGTATTCTGCAGTCCTCTCTATATTGAGCACTCGTTTTATTCCTGCAACATTAAAAGAGTCAGATTGTCTACAATGTGTCCTGGTTTCTCCAGTTACTTGTTAAGTATAAATCAAAACAATGTGAATTTGTTGTCTTTTACAGTACTTTTGTATTAAAGTAATGTTTGTATGTCTTTTATTATCTCCCAAACAGTGCTTTTATATATACAATATTAATGTGAAATGCAATTAATATTGTAATTCAAACTTTACATTAAATTGATTTGTAGTTTTTTTTTTAATATGCAGCATTTAAAACAGGAAATATTTAAATAATATGAATCCACAAAGTCATATGACAATATTACCTGGTATTATTAAATAATATTGAATAATTTATACTAAACAAAATCATTTTTATGTATTTAAATGCATTATCAGCCATATTTTTTGAATAATAATAAGTAAATAAATGCTAAATCATTTTTATTTATTTAAATGCATTATCAGCCATATTTTCTGAATAATAATAAGTAAATAAAGGCTAAATCATTTTTATTTATTTAAATGCATTATCAGCCATATTTTCTGAATAATAATAAGTAAATAAATGCTAAATCATTTTTATTTATTTAAATGCATTATCAGCCATATTTTCTGAATAATAATAAGTAAATAAATGCTAAATTATTTTTGTAATGTATAGAATATTTAATTTATTTACTTAAATGCATTAATTTATTCATTTTAGCCAGATCACGGGCAAAGCATGTGGAATAATTGAATGTGTAGTATAGTATTAGTATAGATAAAAGCCAATCATTTAATTATTTAGGATCATAAACCATTTTTTTATTATATTAAAGTCGTTCCTTCTTTTACCTTCACCACAGCAGAATGAACCGCCAACTACTCTGGCATATGTTTTACACATTCCCTATTATAGTAAATTAATTAAAAAAATTAAAAAAATTAAAAATAAGCAGTAGTGTAACTCACACACTTCACCACATGATGGCGATCAGAGAAGTTCCTCTATTTCAGTCAATGGAAAAATAAACTGCATTAGTGTAATACACAAACTTCACCACATGATGGGGATCAGAAAAGTTTCTCTGTTTCAATCAATGGAAAAACAAGCATCAATAGTGTAATTCACACAACTCACCACATGATGGCGATCTGAAAAGATCCTCCATATCAGTCAATGGAAAAACATCGGCAGTGTAATTCAAATAATTCAACACAGGAGGGCAGCAAACAGGCTCAGTTTTGTCTCCGCTCCACTAGACGGGGGAAGAGGGTTTCAATGACAACAACAACAACAACAACAACAACATGGGGCTCGATGACAGACGCAACAACACGTGCAGATTGTTTTTAATACAGTTCCTGCAAATGACAGCTATCAAAATCACTCATAACATGCAGTGGATGCAAAGACAATGCAGCTGTCAAGCACCACCGGTAAGTAACTTTAAGCTTAAAGAGAATTTCTGTTGGGTGAAATGAGCAACACTGGTCAGTTCCTAACCTTATAAGTTCATTGTTTTTATTCGTCGATCTGATGATGATCATGTTAATATTGAGGTAGGGCTGGTTTTATATTCGCACATTCATTCAGTGACAGCTTGTGGCATGCTCCCTACACTGTTTACTGCTTGTTTTGCTTGATATTGTTTATTGTTTACCATGGTACTTTCAATAGTCGGCCTGAAATCACGTAAATATGACTTCAAAACAACATTAGCACTATTTATCTGACCTTAAACAATGTTGTACTTTGTTAATCATTGGCTGCTAATATGATTTCACTACTTGGAAAATGAAATTATCTATATTATTAGGTGGAAAGTCAGAATGTGTGAATGCATTAAGCTAAAGTTGGTTTTATATTCACACATTCCTTCAGGGACAACTTCCGACATGCTCCATGTATTGTTTACCATAGAGGTAATTTTGGTTTTATATTCGGATATTCAGACATTCTACTTAATAATACAATTTCAGAAAAGTATTCTTTGCATATTCCAAATAGGGAAATCATATTAGCCGCAAATGACCATCAAAGTACAGCATTGTTCACAGTGAGTTAGTGTTAATGTTGTTTGAAAGTCATAATCGCATGCTAATTCCTACTGAATATTCATGGTAAACAATATAGAGACTGCTAAATAAATGAATGTGTGAATATAAAACCAACTTTACCTCAATTTGTAGTCTGAAATCACATGTAAATATGACTTCAAAACAACATTAGCACTATTTATTTGACCTTAAACAATGTTGTACTTTGATGACCATTGGCTGCTAATATGATTTCACTATTTGAAAAATGAAATTATTAATATTGTTAATCAATATATAAGTTTTAAATATATAACTTCACTGACAACTTCCGACATTCTCCAAATATTGTTTACCATGATACTGTGAATATTCGGTCTGAAATCACATGTAAATAGGACTTCAAAACAACATTGGCACTATTTATTTGACGGTAAAGCGATGTTGTACTTTAATAGTCATTGCCTGCTAATAAGATTTTAATATTTGGAACTTGCAAAGAATGATACATCTGGCATGCAAAGAGGCATATATCTGCACTAAACCTTCACCACGCATTCAATTATTCCATTTGCTTAGCCGTTGATTATCTGGCTAAATTAAATAAACTAATGAACTAATTTATTAATTATTAAGTAAATTAAGTATAAATATATTCTATAAATTTTCCCAGAGATGGGTTGCGGCTGGAAGGGGCATCCGCTGCGTAAAAACTTGCTGGATAGGTTGGCGGTTCATTCCGCTGTGGCGACCCCGGATTAATAAAGGGACTAAGCCGACAAGAAAATAAATGAATGAATGAATGAATGAATGAATGAATATTCTATAAATTACAAAAAAAAAGTTAATTTAACTTAGTTGGTTTTATATTCGCACATTCCTTTAGAGGCAACTTGTGTTATGCTCCATATACTGTTGACCATGGTAATAAATACAAATAAATTAACAAATGTACTAATTATTAAGTAAATTAATTATAAATGTCTTCTATAAATTTTAAAAAATAAAGTTAATTTAAATGATTTTGCATTTATTTATGTATTATTATGTAGAAAATATTACTGATGATGCATATGAATAAATACATGATTTTGTGTGGTAGAAAGTATTCAATATTATATAATAATACAAGCCAATTATGTCATGTTACTTTATTACATTAATATTATATAAATACTTACTGTTTTTTTAAATGCTGCATATTCCTAAAAAAATCTATTTAACGTAAAGTTTAAATTAAAATTTTAATTGCATTTCACATGAATGTAGTTTATATTAAAGTACGATAGAAGCATTAAAGTTAAAGGTTACTGTAGACTTGGTTTCATTTACAAATTCATCTATAGTTATTGTGTATTATTTATATTGATCATAAACCGTTATCTGAAATAAAACTTTGTCATATTATAAAGTACAATAATACGCAAGACATATGCTTGTGTTTTTTTATTGCCGTTGTGGTAATCTTACTGTCGATATTATAATCTAGTAGACTGATGTTTGTTTAAATTTGTTGTCAGTTGTGTGAAGCTCTGATTTTTTTTTAATTTATAAGTGTATGTCATTGTTTATAAATTAATTGTTATATATAACTGATTCTTTCAATACTATTTGGGGTTAAGGGTATGTTTATTTACAGATACAAGCAAAGTGGACAGTACAACTAGACAGATAAGGGGTATATCCCGAAGTATGCTAATAGGACTTTTAATTTGCCAGTAACCTGAGTTAAGTGCTTCCGGTGAACTGAATGTCATCACAAAATCTGTGCGTTTAAGGTCTGTTTTCTTTAAAAAGTCAGCGATCTCCACTGGCTGAGTGATATCTGATATAAAGTGGGTCTCAGGTTGCACAAGAAGCACTGCTTTAAATTACATATTCCCCACCATGTCTTTAAAATAAGAGCATTTGTTTTACCACAGTATATTCAATGGAGCTTCTGCGCTAGCCTGCCGATTCTGAGGGGTGCGTGCGAGTGAACAGCTTTATGTCTTGTGTTACGCTTGAGCAACTAAATGCATTCCAAAGTCTATTTAACTGATTGTATTTTAATGACATTACAACATCCATGCTGTTAAAGGAGTCGTATAAAATGGAAAAAACTCACAATAACAGGTCGCCGGAAGTTTATCAGCATTAGAACACCAGCTCAGCTTTTACCCTATTGGATGTAATGATAGCTAATTATCTACAGGTGAAACTTCTAACTTGTTTGTGTGTTTTGTCATTTACCAAACATTTCGGTTACCATCATTGTCTTTATGGAGGGTCACTTCTCTATTTGTATAACTGTCTACTGTTAGACTTACTATGCAATATGTGTCAATAGAGTAGATTTGCAATGGTGTAATTCACCAAAATCTCCACATGAGGGTGATAGTTTGAATTTCATTATTTTAAATTGGCAGCAGTGCAGTTCACAACAATCACCACAGGAGGGCGAATATTAATTATATTTTAATTTATATAGTAATTAAATACATAAGTTTTAGTATAAATTAAATTCATTATATTTGCAAAAGTGTAGTTCAGAGAAACCTCCACAGGAAGGCGCATAATTTGATACATATGTATATTTGTATATTTGTCTATTGTTAGATCAGATATTCAGTGTGTGTAATAATGTGTTGATTTGTGTGTCGACTCTACAGGATCAGTGAAGTGTTGTGGACTGTAAGTCTGTTGAACAGAAGCAGAGACGAGTGGACAGACACTGACTGTACTGATGATGATCATCTGCTGCTGCACAGGTGATGTAGATCATGTGTTGTCTTACCCTAATTACGTTGGTTACCATCAGTTACTTTGTGGAGGGTCACTCCTCTAGAAAGCAAATGATGGTAAACGAAACAGGTGAGGAAGGTTCAAAGATTTTCATTACATATACATTTTATTTTTTTCCAGCAGTAATGAAGTATAACCCCTGCTGGACATGGCTCCGGAAGCTCCAGGGGGAGACCGAACTGGTATCCCCACCTCTCCAGGCACAACTCACTCACTGTGCACTCATATTGCAAAGATCCGGCTGG